TTTACCAGACAGTAAGGATCTAATCAAAAAATGCAATAAACTGCTCTGCTAGGGCATAATGGGACTCGTGTTTCAGACTGTGCTGCCTTGATTAGGATTCCTGTTTTTGTTTTTGTTTTTTTTTTTCATTGTTGCTTTTTTGTTTTTTAAACAAGTCTGTCTCTTTGCTGCCCCGTCATCTTAATTAAATTGCTCACTTGCTCACACATAGTAACTTAGTCTTGATAAGAGAAAGCGTCGGTGTTTTGACGTAAGCTGTAAAAGAGCAGCTGAATTGGAGAGAAGTGCTAGTCCATGATGTGTCATGATGCAGATGTCTGCAGCAGCTTGCACCGTTTATGTTCTCCACATCCCAACACAGAGTTGTGCTTGATGTGATGTTCAGGTAGAAATACTGCTGGTGCCAGTTCACTGATTGGATCTTTTTGTTTTTTTAAACTCTATTCTCCGCTACTTCACTACAGTTTTAGGGTAACACTGGCAGCAGCTGCTGTATGAACTAAACTGCCCTCCCAGTGATGGAACAGAGCTGTAACCTGATGACCTCAAACACACATGCATGCAGGCACACACAAGCAGTTCCTGACTAATGATTTCATCTGGTAGGATAAAGTGATGTGGTGCGAAGCAAAAAAAAAAGAAGAAAAAAAGTAGGATCTTGTTACACTGTGACTGTTCTTGACGGTGTTGTGCATGTGGATGTGAGTCAGTGTGCGGGTGTTTGTGTGTAAAATTATGACAGCGACTACAGGCCCAGCAAGTACTGCAGCAGCCACAGCGTTACATAACCCATCTCAAGTGGCCTGCTAATAGCTCAGCCCTGCCTGGCACGTGCTCCCCTGTCCCTTTCTTTTTTTCTCTCTCTTTCTGTCTCCCTCTCTCTCTCTCACACACACACACACACGCGCGCACACACGCACACATGTACACAGTCACTGTCACATCATGAACCCTTTATTTCTGATATAACACACATGCAACACATTGCCTTTAATAGAAGAAGCAAACAAAGGGCCGGCATTTGTGATGTAAATTGAGGACAGAGGTTAGAATTTGCTTAATGAGATGAAATACTGCTGTGCTTTTTTTTTGTTTTTGTTAAATGTCCCAGTCAAGAACGTGTGTGTGCGTGTGTGTGTGTGTCAGATACTTGTGATATGTGTATGCTTGTGTGGTGCACTGTTGTGTGCTGTGTCATTGTATACTTTCACACCCTTCTGTGGCTGCTGATCACAAGGACGTGTTGTGCAGCTACGTCGTTCAGGCTGAACTCCATTATTTTAACCTCACTGAGCTTGACTAACCTCAAAGTCAAGCGTGTAGGGGAGAGGATCCATGGAGTTGTGACACATAATACAAAAAACATATTTCATAGCACTTTAATAATTATGTGCTGCATACTTAACTGATAATTAAAGTAAAGCAAGTAAAATCATTACTGCACAGATACTTTAAATTTAAAAAATACATTTTGAGAAAGATGGTTTTAGCTAACCAGCGACTCTCAACTACTAATTTTACCCAGTAGGCTGCACTGTTTTAATGAATATGTCCTTTTATTGTACTGTATGCATATAAATGTGTGTTTCCATGCTTACAGCATGTCTAATACCTTCGGATATGTCAGGAAGTTTAATGAATCCTGTAGAATTACATGGATAGCATTATTGTTCATGATTAAAACCTATGATTTAAGCCTGGGTTTTTAAAAAGAAAACAACGACAACAACGAGACAATGGTTGGAACCTTTTAGCGTTGATGATATTTGATTATACAGTGTTTGTCTTTGGTGACATCTAAGGTTGTTCCCACACTTTTATATCAGTAGCCTGACTTTTCTGGAGTATATTACAGATTGTATGTACAGTATGTACCCGTACGGGATGAAATAAACGCACACTGGTCTGGTGACGACAGCAGAGTGAGAAGCACATGAATGTCTGTAAACGCTCAGTTATGTGTTTAAATTGATCATGAAGCGACACTAAAGTCTGACTCATTGAGACAGTGCAGCATAGCCCACAGTGGATTACTGTACAGTCAAGACTTTGGTGGGATTTAGATTCTATACAGTCACTGTTTAACTTTATCTCTTTAATTAAACAATGAGGGACTTCACATACAAAATGATATTATGTTCACATTTTTGAGGTTTTTTTTAATCCGGCTGTTAAGAGTGAGCTTTAGATAGTCCTCAGATGTTGGAGCTTTGTCTCTGAGCTCTCACAGCCTTTGCTGTGTTGTTTTTTTTTTTCCTTTTTTAATTTTATGTCCCCTGTGATGCCAGATGCCTAAATTAGAAAAGATCTTCAGTCAAGCTCTTATAGAATGACTTAATTCATACTTTACAGCATTGAGTAGTGAACAGACTGTTCTGGTTAAAAGAAAAAATAGGAATAGAAAACAAAGTACAGTAAAGGAGTGAAAGGACCCTTTTATTTACAGAGTGATCTGACTCAGATGTACATCTGCAAAATGGCCAATGGAGCAAACTGTAACCTCACAACTTAAACTGACCTGCTAACAATGATTCAGATAAGTGATGTTACTTAAAGTGGCTGTCGCCTCTCATTTAAAATAAAAGCTGACATTCTGCGAAGAGGGTCTGCTTATGTGATAACGCAACTAAATGGCACCTAATCATAAATCTACTTCAGTGAAAGAGACTCAACCTTGTTTTAAACCCAGTTTTAGTAATATGTGTACTTATCTCCAGTTCCATTCTTCACCAGGCCCCTTTTCTCAGTTTCTAACCCTCAGATGAGGCGTTTTGATTTTATATAATAACATCAGTTAAATGTGATAATTTTTATACTTCATGTTGGCGTCAGCTAAAGCCTAGCAAAATGCTGAAAATGCAAAGTTTATAACATCACTGGCCACTTCATTAGGTACAATTGTTCTGATCTGTATAATGTAAGTTAAACTATTTCCTTTAGAAAACGGCTTGTTTGATGCATCTCTTAAAGTGGATATATTATGCTTTTACTTACTGTGTGTGTGTGTATGTATACACACTCAGTGGCCACTATTTTAGCTACACCTTTTCAGCTGCTTGCTAAATATCCAGTGAGCAATTAGACATGCAGACATGGCCAAGACAACCTGCTGAAGTTCAAACTGAGCATCAGAATGAAGAAGAAAGGTGATTTTAGTGACTTTGAACATGGAATTATTTTTGGTGCCAAACAGGCTGGTCTGAGCATTTCACAAAATAATGATCTATTGGGATTTTCCCACAAAACCATCTGTAAAGTAATATGCTAAGATTGGTTGTTCTTTAGTTGAAAATGCCTTATTATTGCCAGAGATTAGAGGAGAACGGTAGATTGCTTTGAGCTGATAGGAACTAGTAACTCAAATGACACATCAACAAAACCAAGGTATGCAGAAGAGCATCTCTGAGCCTGAACCTTGAAGCAGAAAGGCTATGACAGCTGAAGACCACACCGGGTGCCACTCCTGTCAGAATTGGAAAAGAAAATTGGGACCAAAGTTCACAAAAGCTTTGGTTTCTTCATCATGACAATTAGACTGCTGAACCTGGATGGCTTTCACAGTTGCCAGATCTGAATCCAATAGAGCACCTTTTGGGATGTGGTAAACTTCTCATCATGGATGAGTGGCCAACAAATCTGCACCAACTGTGTGATGCTGTCATACCAATATGCTAGCAAGGTAAAACTAATAGTCTCTGGTGAGTGCATGTGCACGCTAAACTGAAATTACTTTGAAGGTTCACTTATGATTTGGGTAACATGGTAGCTCTAATTTACTCAGTTCCTGGAGTTTCTCATGTATTCCCAGTGCTATTATAATTTCAGTCTATATAGTAGAAATTTGTATTTTGTATACAACTGTCAAATTCACAACAGTTTTTCAGAGTTTGAATGTTAAAAATCTGACACTGCGAGCATATATAAAACTGATATGAACTGTTTCTGAGAGTTTCCATTTGTATTGTTGACGAGGAATGGACAAAGCAGTAAACTCACGATATGAATGTTTCACCTAGCAGAGTGGTTAAACCCATCACATGAGGAAATGCAAACAAATAACCGACACGCTCCACATCCCTGTCCGCCCTCAGACGGCATGCCCTCTTCTTTGTCCTCAGCGTCTCGCACTCCGATCGGTCCTTCTATCCCTGCGGTTTATTCTTATATAAGAGAAGGTGGGAGAATACCTCACTCCTCCTACCGGACTTAACGTGGTGCCAGTCAAATCCCACTCTCAGCACCTTTTAAGTAATTTTTATCAAAAGAACTGGCTAAAGAATATTACATAAGATAAGCCGATGGCAGTCTGTCGCGGTGAAACCTATCTCACTTTCAGCGTTGCACAAGAGCCACGCGTGTTGTAAAACACACACGCTCGCTCACACCTTTCTGTGTACATATCCATGCAGTAGCAAATGAACAGCACACACACCCACACAGAGACAAACACAGTCACGCTTTACATAATTCTATAGGTTTGCATGCGCCTTGTTTTCTTATACCGTTGCTGCAGAGTGTTTGCTCTGCTGCCGCTGCGCTGTTAGAAAAACAGAAAATAAACATCCGCGTTTTGCATGTGACCACACACGCGCGCGCGAGCGCATAAGTAACACTATGCTCCCAGTTGTGTTCTTGATAGACGACAGTGACTCATCTCCTGTGTGCATCAACAGTGTGCTTATGGAGTGGGTGAGAATTGAAATGCCAGTTACTGTTCATTTAGTGTATTATTGCTATCTGCTGTATCCAAGAGACAGCGATGGTGCTTAAAAAAATTTACACTGTCAGGTGCAAAACGGAGAGCAGCTTCCATTCTGATGAAATGATTAATATTAAACCTCCACGCCTGTCTTCACTTACCACTACCTCTGTGTTTACTCTCCTCCTGCAGTCTGGCTTCAGCACTGTAATGCTCCTGACGTGTCTATGCAAATCTTGCGTGTGTGCCAACATACTGTTGCTTCCATCTCTCTGACCTATTGAGGCAGCTTTATTTCAGGCGTTTATTCTTTTCACCCTTTCTCTCCGTTTCTCATACATACCATCTCTCTCCCCCTTTCCTCCAGGAGAAGAACTTGGACTGGTTCCCCCGTATGAGAGCCATGTCTCTGGTGAGCAGCGAGGGAGACAACGAGCAAAACGAGATGCGGTCTCTGCAGGAGAAAATGGAGAACACTGCCAATCTGGTGGCTCAGCTCTCAGGCCAGCTGGCTGAGCTCAAAGAACAGGTAGAATGCTACTTCAGGCATTTTTCATGCTCTTGTGGGAAAAGGTCTCTTATGAGCATTGTGCTATTTGTAACTGCTTAATAGCACAAAGTAAAACTGCGCCTTGTTCGGTAGCTGACTGCCACGCGTGTGCTGTGAAGTCCACGTCACATGACTCCTCGTAACGCCAACAGGGGAGGAGGTCACATAAAAGATATAGCTTTAGCAGAGTCCCTATGCTCTCGGTTTATTCATGCAGATGGATTCTGCTACTGAACGCAGCACGACAGGTGACTATCACGTCAGCAGTCGACACGACTGAGAGCCGCCAGTGAGCCTCTGGCTGTTTGGATGACTAGCACCGCTGCTGCAGTGTGACTGATCACTCTCATCACCTGCCTCCTCTGCATGTGATTCCAGTCACAGGCCTGTCCTTGTTCCTCTTCTGCCTAATGTGTGAAAACAGCTCCTACTGGGGCAGAATAACACTCCACTAAAAAAAACTAAAACAACAACAACAAAAAAGAGAACAGCTACTGTCGACCTCTGCAAGCAGTAAAGTTGGTAACATCTCCCTGTGAGCTGCGATCTCTCACGTAACCCCCAGTAACAGCTCAATATGTCTTTTATTACAGCGCGGTTGAACAAAGATGGCAAGGCATTATCTTTGAATCTGTTTTGCGTCAGCTGCAGGCGGACCTATTCTAATCTAAGTTTGCCGGTTCTATTCTGACTAATAAGGAATCATAGGGTTAGCATGATTACTACTCCACCTATATGGTAAACAGAAAGTGTAGTTTACGCCACAGGAGGTGAGTGTGTTTATGGAGGGTTAGGTGAGGCCCAACCACAGCTCTGCAGTCACAAGGGAGGTCTGCAGGTCTCACACCAGATATGAACTCAAGACTGTTTCTCACTGGGAGGAAAGTTCTCCTGCAGCTCCTCCTTCATCACAACCTTTTGCTGACCTCTGCACACGATCACAGCTGAGACTCTGTGTAGGTTTATGTGTGTCGCTACTTAGCAGTGTGGCTTTATGCACAGCCTGCGTTTTTTTTCGCCCCCTTTATTTTGCATATACAGTTTACGGCTCACAGAACCCATGGACCCCATTTGTGACGTCAACACCGGAAACCACTGTAAATGTGAACCAGCATTTCTGATTCATTTACACACACGCACTTACTCTTATACATCCACTGTGCAGGTCACAGTTCTGCACACTCCCACACATGACTGTGTCCTCTAATGAAATTTCCAAGGGACATTTTAGTTTCCAGTCATAACGGCAGTGTTGAACAAGGTTATTTTCATGCAGCCGTGCAGAAGATTACATCTCAGGCAATTTAAAATTGATAGAAGAATGTTGTAGAATAAATGTGTAACTTCTGAAATGACAAATTCAATGATTTTTGTCTAAACTAAAACAGTTTGTTCACTCTTGGAGGAGAAATCTACATGTACTGCAAGTTTATTCATATAGATAAATATTTAGATATAGATATATAACTGTACTACTACATTAATGGCAAGAAACCAAGTTTCTGTGTGTGCTACATACAGAATATACAAACCTTACAGCTTTTGTTTTCCTCCCCTTCTCCTCAACAGATGACAGAACAGAGGAAATACAAACAGAGGCTCGGATTCCTGGGTCCTCCTCAGCCCAATCATCACATTCCAACTCACTGAGCGCTGCTATTGGCTCACTATAAAGCCAGAGAGAAACGCAGACACATGAACTGCAGCCTTGAGAACAACACTTGTATTCAAATGTACACCTACAATTACTGATGTCAAAATTTGCAAGGGACCAGCAAGTGTTGATGCTTAATTTTAGACATAGTGCCTTTTCTGTGACATAACGTGACACAAACACGGCCTTATTTGGAGACAGCGTGCCTTTTGTGCCCACTCAGCCATAAGGGCCCTTGTGTACAGAAAAACTGGTCTGTCAATGATTGACCAGGCACAGCACACACCTTCCAATGTAGTGATAGCGTGCCAGACAGAAGCTGAGGGAAATGTTAAGGTAGGTTAATGGTTAAGTGCTGTCAAGCCTGTGGACATCTGTCTTGGCCTCTGCTCCACCACTGTCACAGTGCTGATCAGCCAGCCCCACAGAGGTCAATGATTGGCTTGCAGGCTTCCAGAGGAAGAGTGTGCACACTAAGATCAAGAATTTTACCTTTTTTAGATTTTTGTTGGTATTTATGAGAAAATTGTTGGTTCATAACTGGAGGACTATTTTTGCATTTTGGGAAAAAAAAAGACTCATGCTGCCTTACTCGTTAACTTTTATAAATGGAACATTGCAATTGCTGAAAGTGCACTTTTTTTTCTTTTTTTTTTTAAAAAGGGTAAAAACCTTTAACTGCAAACAGTAACAGGTTGGTTTGAGGTATTATTATTATTATTATTCGAATGCTTTGTGTTCTGTTTAAATACGCATTCACCGCACCACTTCAGTTGCCTTTTACAGATTTCTATGTCATATATATATATAAATGTGAATAAACTTATTTCCTGTGCAAAACTTTCTTGATGGTCTTAAATCATATATTGATACATCTTGACTGAAGATGGTAAGCTCACAGTTTTTTGTTACGTTATGAGCATCCTTGTGTTTATAGAGATGTAAGCTAATACTGTAATTCACTGTATCTGCTCTAACATCCATCTCCTACTGTTTTATAAAGTGTCTTTTAGTGTAAATAATTTTCACTAGTCCCTCGTGAAGTGCAGTTGAGAAGTCTGCAGTTGTTTTAAAGTTGCACAGATGAACACCAGACTGTGGCGTACTCCATCACTCAATGTCCTGAGACACCGTTAGCTGAAAGGCAGTGTGTAGAAAAATGTTTCAACTCTCTAGTAAAGTTCAGTTCAAATCTTCTTGTTGGAAATGGATGAGTACTCACCGTGAGCCCCTCTACACCAGTCTTAACTTACTTGTGCTCGTCCATGAGGGGGACGCAAGATGTCACGTCTTCTTTTAGATGAGCTCATATTTCGGCTCAGTTTCATGACTGTTATGACAAATTTACTTCTTCCAGCTTTGCTACACCCCTTGTATTTAAAGGGGACTAATTATGTACATTTCAAGCCCAGTATTTTTATTCTTGTACTTTACTTGAGTAGCTATGCGTGATTCAAATTACAAAATAATCTTTATTAATTTTGCTTATATCTAAGTATAGTGCGGCCCCTTGCTTCATCGTCTGTCTGTAACAAGCTGTTTTACTTGCTTTGCCTTTAAGTTAACTTTCCACTGACTGTCTCCGCCTGGCAAAGATGTTGTCTACATTAAATGAAACTTTGACTATGTATAATATAAGTATCCATGAATAAATATGATGGAAAATGGCAAAAAAAATAAAAAGCATAAGGCCTCCTTTCATTCCATACAGAATCATCATCAGATTTTTATCAAGTAGTTTATTAAGTCTGCAGCTCTTCATGTGTGAGATGAATGGCTGCCTGACCTTATAAAGTTTGCGACCATTTCCCTGAAAAGGGGATTTAAGTGTCTATAGTTTCAAAATGTTCAATAGCTGAATTAAATGGGTGGGTGGTGTTGAATCTCTACGCTTAGCTGTCTAGCAATCGGAGATACCAAATGTTTAATTAGATAGCCTTGTCATTTCAATCCATCATATCGGTTAATGAATAGTTTCAAATAATCACATCCATCTAATTAGATTTATTTAAGTCTAATTCAGTACGTAAAAAGAGTTTTTAAACTACAAAAATAAAAGATTGTACAGGATTTCTAGAGCAGTAATTAATTATCAGTGAAAGTGTGGTGGGAAAGCAAAATAGGTGCAATTATTCATTAGTTTTCGCAACAAATTAAGCTGTAACACCTGAGATTGCATATGTAAAAATAGTTAAAAGTAATGTAGAAAATGTTGGTGTAAAAACTAACCCCGCCAAAAGCTAAACGGTGATGGTTTTAAGAAGACAAATATTAACGGCATTAATGAACTGAAGCATTAGCTACATTGAGCTTTGTTTCCACACATGGAAATCCCCACTGGTAATTCCACAGTCATCACTTGAGGAGGTGGTGAACTCAAACCCGTCTGTATGAAATTTGAAATGATTAACAAGTCTCAGAAAGTAAACTGGTCTCTTATCCTGTTTTGCCATTTACCCTCAGCAGAGAAGCCCATCCTTCTTGGCTTCAGTTCAGTGTTTACGCTGGCAGGCCTGCATTTGCTCCTGCTGCCTGTGACAGCCATTAAAATTAGTTCACGCAGTGCCATAATGGCGAGCAGCTGTCACTGCGCAGACAAGAAGGGTTAAGTGCAGCTTCACTGGAATGTGTTGCACTCAGAAATGGAAAAGGAGGGAGAGGCTAATATCAGGACCATCACTGCTGTCTGGCAAAACTCTTAATGCTATATTGTAACAACACCGCTTCACCTTGCATCACTTCCTACATTTGATCAGCTAATATTTATTCTTTGACCCTGGAGAGAAACCATTTAACTTTGATGTCCATTTACTATTAATGGTTAATAGCTTAGACTCTACAGTCTGCTTAACTTCATCCTTGGTGATTACCAAATGATTACCAAAGCCCTTTAAATGCACATGAGAAGTGTTTTGTTTACTTTATGAACACAACCTCAGACACATTTAGATCATCTTCAAGTCACATGCTTAGCTTTTGTGTATTCACTAGAGCAAGTAGGAAAACACCCAGATCAGTAAATATCAGGCAACATCTGAGACACCTCTGTGCCTGGAAGGCGTTTTGACACCAATGCGCTGAATTAATCAAGCCATATTTAGCTGGATATGAAGAGCATCTGCATATAAAATGATCAAAAACACTTGATGTTGTTCAGTCTATTTTAGAGATGCAGTGTGCATCGTTTTCCTTCGTGTCAATACACATATTGATCTTCTGTCTTCTGCAGTTTTCTCTAAAGACTCACAGCAGCGTCAGTGGCCACCAGAGTCAGATATCAGACGATGCTTTTTTTGTTGTTGTTTTGCCTGGAAAGACAAACTGACCACACAGAAAGCTGTTACCTTCCAAAGAGGTGGGTGGAAGGTCCCTCATCACACTCATTTTTATAAATAAACATGCCCTCATGACGACTGGCATGTGACTTCCTTTGTATGGCAGTGAAGTTGAGTTGTTTCTAGTCACATGATGCATTGACATCATATCACAGAAAACAAGCCGTCACACACACACACAGTTGTGTATCGTGCAATATGTGTGAATAAATCATTAAACAGTAACTGACACACTGAGTTAATATTTTTTAAGTTATGCCATAGTCTTTGAGGAAAGCCACATGTAAGCAGTCACATGTAAATTATCATCAAAGCATATTGTAACCAAACCTAAACAGAAACATTTTTGTCTTCACTATGGTCACATACAGTTTGATATTATGCATTTGCAATCCATCTTTACTTTGAGAACTACATATTTTGTTAACGAACAAGTTTCAATGCCTGCTTTTACGTTTTACATTATCATGATAGGCTGCCCTTCTGCCTGGATATGCTGTGGCTTGTGAATGGATGTATAGATTGGCGTAACTTGAAGGTAGCATAGGTAAAGCTTACTCTACTCTGTTTTCAGCAATAATAATACATGTTTTAATGTAAAGACCAAGTACTTATTCTGAATGCAATGTTCAGTCTCCATTTGATATCTACACACAATCACTAGACACTATTAGGTTCACTGTGCAAGTACTAGATTTGACCCCTTTTGCCTTCAGAATTACCTTAAATGTTCATGGCATAGCTTCAACAAAGTGCTAGGAACATGACTCAGAGTTATTGGTCCATATTGACATGACAGCGTTACACAGCTGCAGATTTGTCAACTGTACATCCCAAAGGTGCTCTATTGGATTGAGATTAGTGACTGTGGAAGCCATTTGAGTACAGTGAATTCATTGTCATGTTCAAGAAACCAGTTTGAGATGACGATATGGTGACATGGTGCTCTTGCTAGAAGCAGTCATTAGCAGATGGGTACACTGTGGTCATAAAGGGATGGACATAGGCAGCAACAATACTCAGGTAAGCTGCAGCATTTTAATGATGCTCAGCTGGTACTAAGCGAATCAAAGTGTGCCAAAAAATGTCCCCCACACCATTACACCAACACCAGTGGAATTGCTGCTATGTGATTGGCTGATTAGACCTTTGTGTTAATAGGCAGCTCAACACTTTACCTAAAGTGCCTGGTACCTGTGTATGTAATTACAAAAAAAGGAAACTGCAACTGCATACAGCTGACAAAAAGGTTTCTATTTGTGCCCAAATATGTTAAGACAGTCTTGAAAGAGTAACTACTGCCATTTTTTTTATCCACATCAAATTAATTCATAAAATTTAAGACTTCAGTAAGTTAACCTTTTATCACTGACAAAACAATGTAAGGTGTATTTGATTCAGCACTTGTTACACTCTTCCTCTGGGCATACATTTCATTCATATGGAAACTGACTCATGCTTACGTTTCCTGCTTAGCATGTTGAGATTGCAGGTAAATATTGCTAGAGTAGTAATAAATAACACAGAAATGTATTTCATTTAAAAATAAAAACCATTTATTTTTTTCCCTGCTTCCTAACACAGCTCAAACACTGTGAAATGATTCACCATAGGTCACTTCAGTCCAGCTGCCGGTCTGAGTCCCCCCTTTCCTCACCCCGTCTCACCCCTCCTCTCTTTGTGGCTGCAGCAGTTCCACTCCTACAGGCTGTTTGACTCATGCTGGCTGCTGGCCACCTTCCACCACAGCCCAGTTCAGTCTGAAACCAGTCTTATGAAGTGTAGCCTGCTCAGGTTATGCTACTGCACTCAGAACTGTGTGGCGTTTACTTGTACCAGCTGAAAAGGACTTTGATAACGTTTTTTTTTTTTAAATCAAGGGAGTGAAGTCTGTATTTAGCGAGCTGCATATGTTTAGTGGCAAAATTAATAAACTAAATGACTTTCATCAAAAATGATTTTTTTTAATTTTTAAAACCTGAAAACGAACCTCAAAATGCACATAATATAAAACAAGGCTTTAATAAAAGGGGATTTAATGATGTTACAGTAATCAATAAATAAAGCATTCATTTTAAGGTTTAAGATTCATCTTACTAATATTTGCTAATGTGTGAACACTGCTTTTTGAATTCTTGAGGCAGTTTCATTCTGTAATTGAAAATCATCACACAAGAACATCGCGATTCGATGTGTTTTAGGTTTCGTGGTTATGAAATTTCTGTGAATGAGATGAAAACATAACTAACAAAAATATAAAACACAATAAGCTGCTTTTGACTTTACAACTTCTTTTCAAGGACTAAAAATTGGAAACTGAAAGTAGAACTTTACTTATATAAAATACAAAAAGCTGTTACAAAGCTGGTACAACTTCCAGCATAAATACATTGAGCTGCTGCCACGTGATTGGCTGACAGAAATGCTGACAGAAAACAAGCCAAGGCACACAAAAAGACAAATATTCCAGTCCGCCAGAGTTAAGTCAACCTCCCTCTTGAGCTGACTGACCAGAGGCACCTCGTGAGCTTTGCCATCTTCAATTAAACTTTCTGCCACTGCTGGGTTGAGGGAGAGCCAATCTGAAGACCAGCAAAGAAGACCTGATAGCGGTGCTTCCACATGATGAAGGCACCAACGGCACAGATGAGCGCTTGGGCCAGATTGAGGAAGATCTGGATCAGGAAGTAAAGTGTGAGTGTACCGGTGATCGCCTCGCAGTCACCGACTCCCTCGTAAGTGAAGATGCGAGCTAGTAGATCTTCTTTATCGAGTATGCAGACGCAGGCTTCTACCTCCTGCTCGCAGATGAAGCTGCTGGTTTGCTCATAATGGTGGGCAGCAAACGCCATGACCAGCACAGAGATGACCAGGCCAATCATGCACAGGACAAAATACAGGAGCTGTAGGGGCAGAAAGCTAGCGTGAGACCAGACACTATGAAAGCTTTCATCAGAAAACATTTTCTATCTTTTATTCAATGTGTTTTTATATTCTAATCCGGCTCCCGCTTTAGCCTGTTGTCTCATGATTACCCCACGGTGCCAAAACTGTAGCTTAGAAACAGACGTGCTGGCTCAGTGCCTATGGCAAATTAAGTTCAAAGAGATTACCCAGAATACGCCGACCCTAAGAGTACTGGTCCAGCTCTTAGCACGAAGGGGAGATATCACATATATTCCAGTGCCCTGCAGCTACAGCCACCTCTAACCTTTAGTGCATGTCCTGTGTGAGAATACTTGCAGAGAGCGTCTAAAAATACAGTTTCAAAATGTGACAGAGGCTTTGTGCTGTTTATGCAACTGCACGATTGCAATAACACTAAACCTTCATCTTAATCCACCGCTTATATAAAAGAAGCCCTCATTCGCTGGTGTATTTTGCTTTCAGTTACATGCTGCTTATAGAGTTATGCAAGTGATGAGTGGTGCTTGATTTGAAACTGCATTTATGTTAATTTTGGAACAGCTGTGAGATGGAGAGTATGGATGATTACAGGGGAGATGCATGTAAAGCAAGTGCATCAACAAGCACTCTGCTGAACAGTGTGGGCTTCACTAAACAGGTGATCGGAAAGCCCAAAGTTGAAAGTGAGGATGCTGTTGTCGTCGTCGTCGTTGTTAAGAGTCTATGTGCTGTCCACTTTTGCAGAGCACTTCAAAACTCATAGTCACGAGTGTCTTTACACAGTTAATGAGAAATAAAGTGGTCATATGAGTCCCTATCTAACAACACAGTAACACTTAATGTGAGAACGGCTCCCTCTCCCTTTGGTCTCTCTTTGAACCAAGGGCAACTGGAATTAATAAACAAGCTCACTGCGAGGCCACAGATTCTTCAGAAAGAGAGACAGTGTAGTCACGTATTCACTGACAAAGTAAATTAACAAATTAAAACACATTTGTTTTGGTTTGAGGGCTGTTTGAAGGCCAGACAAAGAGGTTCTGCAGATTCAATGTAGTTTTTTCTGCTACATAGAACTTTTGGCTAAAAAAAACTACAAGAAATGACACATGACATAAGGACATACTGTGCTGTGAAAAAATATTTGCCCATTTCCTGACCTCTTTTTTTATATAACTGTCACACTTACATGTTTCAGATAATCAAGCAGATTTTAATATCAGACAAAGATAACCTGAGTAAACAAAAACAAAGTTTTTAAATGATTGCTTATCTTATTAAAGGAAAAAAAGCTATCCAAACCTACCTGATGCTGTTTGAAAAAGTAATTGCCCCCATTGTAAAATCTTGAATTAACTATGATTAATGAGTTATGTTCACCAGCCCCACCCAGGCCTGATTACAACAGACCTTTGAATTAATCAAGAAGCACAAGCAGAACCTGACTGACAAAGTTTAGTAAGTTTAAAGATATCAAAAAACACATGATCTAAAGAAACAGCTGAGAAACAAAGTCATTGACACCTATCACTCTGGAAAGGGTTACAAAACCATTTCCCAGGCTTTGGGAGTCCAGTGAACCACAATGAGAGCCATTATCATCCGAGACTAACACAACTTTTCCAGAAGGCCAAAAAAAGACCCAAGACCTGCAGGCCTCACGTGTCTCAGTTAAAGTCAGTGTTCATGATTCAACACTAAGAAAGAGACTGGGCAAAAATGGCATCCATGGGACAGTTCAAGCTGACCAAAAAGAACACAAAGACTCGTCTCACATTTGCCAAAAAAACATGTTAATGATCCCCAAGACCTTTGGGAAAATATTCTGTGGACTGGCGAGACAAACGTTGAACTTTCTGGAAGGTTTATGTCACGATACATCAGGCATAAAACTAACACAGCTATTCAGAAAAAGAACATCATAACCAATGGTGGGTTAATGGTCTGGGGCTATTTGCTACTTTATGAACTGAGTAACTTGCTGTAATTGATGGAATCAAAAAAAATTTCTCTCCAGCAGAAATTTTTAAATGTTCGTCAGTTTGTGCTCTGAAGCTCGAGAACGCTTGAGTTGGGCTGCAGGACGATGACCCAAAACACACCAGCAAGTCCTCCCCTGAATGTCTCAAAACAAAAGGAAGGTTTTGAAGTGTCCTAGTCAAAGTCTGGACTCAAATCCAATTGAGATGCTTTGGCATGACCTTAAAAAGACTATTCATGAACGAAAACCTTTCAAGGTGGCTGAATTAAAACAATTCTACAAAGAAGAGTGGACCAAAATTCCTCCACAGCGATGTGAAAGACTCATTGTATCAAGAGGCCAAACACTTTTTCACAGCACTATACTTTGCTGCTATGAAAGACAAATGGATAAATGAACAATGCAGTCAAATTTCAACAAGTTCAATACTGTCTCATTTAGGGATCGGCTAATATCACTAGTTTGTGAACTTGAAAATGCAAATGATCAGAATCTGTGTCTTTCTGGTGACTGAGGTACATCGATGACATTTAAAGCTACACAAAATAGACATGCTAGCATTGTTTGTTTGTTTTTTAACAAGCCTTTCTGCAAATTAGCTGCATTTCCTAATACAAAATACTGCTGAAATGCTGTCTTTACATCATTTACATATTTGAACCTGGTATGCACAGAAGACCCAGACAAAAAAAAAGGATGCCCCTTCCCAGGAAACAATGATCGGCTGATTTTAATTGCTTTGAAATTCCAGCTGCATACATTGTGTGGCTAATTAAGCTGTACAATCAAGTCGCATTAATGAAAGCACTCCTCCGCTCACACGGATTCCTGCAGAGCACTTTTAAACAGGAATGCTGTTAAATGCTTTTCTCTCTATGCTTCTGACAGTTGCAGTTCCCCACGACCAGCTTTGTACTTTAACAGGGAGTAAAATAATGTTTTCTGCAGAGGTTTTCTGTCTGAACACTGAGCCTGGTCATACTTTTGACTGATTCTACAAATCGTTGGACAATTTCAGACGCTTGTTCTCGCATTCATTAATAAGCAAACGTTTTGAGTCATCAGGCTTTCGCTAAGCTCACCTTGACAATGAATTGCTTCGATGTTCTCTCATCAGGGACATAGGTGATACAGTACAGGACAAAGCCCAGGATGGAAACTAAACACAGCTGAAACATAACAGAAAAAAAGGGTTTAGCATTATTTGGATAGACTCAGTCATCAAGGCATTAAAAACATCTACATGATTTGTGACAACATGATTTTTAAGCGCCACAAAGATCCATTTCATCCATATATATAGCATATATGAATGACTTGTAGATCATACATTTACATACAGTTTAGACCATGAATAAGAAAAAGAAATACTTTCCCCCAGGTTTTCAGAGGTGTTTTCTGTTATTACATGATTCAGCAGTAAGCTGCCATCTGATCACTTTACTCTGTCTTTCCCTTTCACTCCCCTCCTCTCTCTTTCTTGCACACAAACACACTCACACTCTATCTCTGTGTCTTCAGTGCAATTGGAGTCTTGTGACTAACGTGAGGCATCTTATTTAAATGTTTTTCTCAGGTTCTTAAGCACTCAGGATTCTCTGGAAAGTTCTTGATGACCTCAGTGTTTTTCACTTGGCTGAATCTCGTGAGGATCTAACTCGGGATGTTGATGTCCAGGGATGTTTTCGAAGGCAGATGGCATCTGTGATAGGCTGGGGTAGAGCTCAGACACAAAAAACACGTTTTTTTTAAACATATTTCACTGAAATGTGACCTGAAGTCTTAGCCCAAACTATAATAATAAGTAAATTTGCCTCCCCCCCCCCTTTTTATTACACATTTCACAAGGAAAGGTGAACACTTTGTGCCTCATTGGTTATACAAGTTAAAGTGCGTGCATTTGTTACACTTCAACTTACAGTTCATCCACTTTTTACGTGTTACTCTTAACAAAGTTCACCTTTGTGAGCTGAAACCTCAAAGTGCGTTTTATGGTTTACGGTTTAACTGATGCTCCCAGTCAGTTACACTTCAACATTAACCTACTTTCAGTGCTTTCGTGACCTTTTTGTTAATTTCTCTTGAAATTCCACTTCTCGTCTTAACCTAAATGAAACACGCAACTTATCTTTCATTTGTTGTTTGCATCGTAAAAGTAAAAGTAAAACTTTTGTGTGAAACTACATGTGATGTGTGCGTGTATATGGACCGGATGGCAAGGATGCAGAGGTACTCAAAAAGATGTACATCATATTTGCAAATAATAATGAGGTCTTCTGACACTGTGTGGGTGTTCGCAGGTTAGTTTGGAATGCGGCATGCTGTTATTGGATGACTCATCTCATCTGTCCAGATGTTTAAGATTTCTTGGACATGCAGTGTGAACAACAGAAGGTGCAAGCTGATGCATGTGACTGCGAAATAATGGAAATGCAGGTGTATGCATTCAGGTGAACATGACAGATGGAGATTTGTTACCACATGACAATATTAGTGATTTCCCATGGCTACGGTGCCTGTCTGGCAGAGACAGCCTGGTGGGGGCCGGTGTTGACATACAGTGTGCTAAAGATGTACAACACAGGTGTGTTGCTGAGGCTCATGCAGAAGTATCAGAAACCGGAGGTTCCATGCAAACAAATGAGTGCAGTGGCTGATGATAGAGCGTAAAGTATGCAGCTTACAATGATCCCAGCCCAGTGTGGAGTCTCCCTGGCCAAAAGTGAGGGACTGATAGCCAACATAAGGAAGGCCACGGCTGTGACAGCCACCCCCAACAGCAGCTGGAGCAGAGCGATGAGCAGAGGGAAACGACAGACTCTGCACTTATGGCCATCGTCTGGTGTTGGGCTCTCTTCTCTCTTCTTCTTGCCCTCCTTCTTGTCTGAGGAATCTTTCTGTGTCTGTCTCATTTCTCTTTCTGCCTTCACTTTCTTTTCCTGTGTCTCTACACGACTTTTACTCTTTGGGGTGTATGAGCCCGCCTGCGGTCTCCCTCCCTTCCCTCTCTCACCATAAACACAGCTATGGCTGCTATTTGGAATCAGAGACTCTGAACTAATATGGAAAACATTTGGACTGGAATCCTAACGCGGCTCCAGTGCCACATATAGAGCAGGCAGCATACTGAGGAGGGAAGGAAGAGAAGGGATGGGAGGCAGGAAGACACAAAGGGGGATTCCAACTTACGACAATAAGATGATTTCTCGTGTACTCGCATTAAAAACAAGAAAGGGAAAGTACAGAGAGGGATCAGCAGGTATGAGTTAATGAACAGCCAGCACAGAGGAGGTGACACTTCATTAAAGAGCCAAGTGACTGTTTCATTCTTTGTCAGCAGTTACACAAGACAACCATATGCCGCCAGCCAGAACGTGTCACATGACTTACAGGAACGAGTAATGTGATCACAAGGCATGTGAGGGCATTACAGTGGCGCAGATTTTAGTGTTTTTGGATCCTTTTAACGTTCGCAAGGGAGGAGCAGGTGTCAGTAACAGATTAACTTTATGTGGTTAAACTATAAATATGCAGTAAGACATTTATATATAAAAGGTTTTTTTTTTCTTTTTATCCTCACGCTTCACGTGTTTATCACGTCAGTACGTGTCAATACAGAAAACTAACGGGCTTACGAGAAACCGAGGTGTTTGAAGGGGACTGTGATCACTCATCATTTTCAGCACGTCGGACTAACAAGTCACAAAACTTTATCCCGAGACTAATAAAAGAACTGCGACGCACGTGTTTCAGCACACAGCTGGGCCGGTGCCATGGTTACTGACAACGCAGCTTTGGGGAATTGATGTACAACTAAGGTTATCCTGTCGCACAACAACGCACATAGAGCGTGCAGGGTGCATGAAAACGCACGAGCGCACACATTTTGTGGACTTTAAAAAGCTCACACACCCCCATGTTTACGCTCCGTGTTTACGCCACAATAACCTGTCTGCTGTTCAGGCTCGGTCACGTTACGTGACCAGTTCTTGTTTTTATCTCCCGAAGTGCGACTGTTCGTGATCAGTTTAGAAGTCTGTGTCTCGCTTCGGCAGCTCAGCGCTTGCACAGCAAACACGAGCTGTGAAGTTTTGTAGCCCATAAAACTAGATGCAAAACCGCTGCTTCTGAGGATCATTATTCTGCCTCGCTCCACGCGCCTGCGTCTGCTCCTTTGCATTTTGCGCACGAATCACGTTTCAGCAGCCTGGTCAAAATGGCCTGGGCTAAGTCGCCATAGAAGCAGCGTCGATAGCTGCAATATTACAGACAAGGTCTAATTACCGGACTTTGTGCTGGTGCAGCCTACACGTGAGTCGGAAGCTGTTCCCAACCGGAGGCGCGCGTGCGCTCTAACCACAGAGCCGACGGCTTTGCAAAGTGGCAGCTCAGGGAACTATAGACATCAGTCTGACGCGCAGCTCCACTGGAGGACACGCACTGTGCATTATCTGCCTCAGCCGTCCGCGCGTGGGTCGTTGGAATAACAAACATTCCCAAAAGAAGCTCAGAAGAAGCAAAGAACCAGCAGAGGAGAGATGGATGAACGAATACCGCATTTACAGGACAGGCAGTTCATGGAGCACGCGGATTTCTTGGGGTGAGTATCGCTTTTGGCAAACTCTGTCAAAGTATGCCTAATAAACTGTCACGACGACCTGGTGAATAATCTGACACTTTCCCCGTGTCCGTAGGGTGGATTACCCCTCACTCTACATGTGTAAATCCAAAAGAGGAATAAAGCGAGAGGATGGTGGGAAGGTGCGCGCGTTGGTTTTTTTTATATTATTTTTCTAATATGTAGCTTGTTTTCACAGTTGTTCCTTAAAAATACCACAAATGATATGAAACACACTGTAACTACTGTTATAGTGTTAATAGCGTGTTCCTGTTCTGATTAATTAAACACGCGTATTCTGTCAGCAGGACGCATACAAGTTACCACACCGGTTGATAGAGAAGAAGCGGAGAGACAGAATCAACGAATGTATAGGGCAGCTGAAGGATTTGTTACCCGAACATCTCAAGCTGTCGGTGAGATCACGAAATCACGAAAAGTTTTATATGTGCTCAGGACATGGCTTTACATGACAGAGACCTCGTAAACAGCCAAACACAACCTCTGATTTTCTCCACAGACGCTCGGGCACTTGGAGAAGGCAGTCGTCCTGGAGTTAACGCTGAAACACTTAAACGCGCTGACTGCTGTCACCGAGCAGCAGCACCAGAAGATTATTGCTTTGCAGAATGGTAAGATGAACGAACTCAATCCTCATATACATAAAGTTTTGTAAAGAAACTGCACTTCTTGACAATAATTAAATGCATATGGGTTTTTATCATTTAACTGACCGGATTTGGGGAAACTTTATTAATCTCCGTTTTTAAAATAGCAGAACGAGCAGAATTGAAGAAAGAGGAGCTAGAGTAGACTCAGCTTGGATACTTTATTGTGTATTTCAAGATTCTTCCAATTAATACCGCATCTGTTCACTTTGTCTGAGTCGCTAGCCTCGTCTCGTCACTGGTTATGATGAGCATCTCACAGAATAATGATCTGTTACTCTTCAAACTCCTTGCTTCGCAGGAGACCGGTCGATGAAATCTTCCATTCACGCTGATCTGGATGCGTTCCACTCCGGATTCCAGGCCTGTGCCAAAGAGGTCCTGCAATACCTGAGTCAGTTTGAGAACTGGACGGCACGGGAGCAGAGGTGCGCGCAGCTGATCAACCACCTTCACAAGGTGCTGGCGCAGTTCCAGTCCGGCGCGCAGCCACTACAACACCAGCTGCCCGCCGGGGACGCACAGGATGGTCAGAAATCTGACAGCCAAGCCAACTGTGTCCCCGTCATCCAGAGGACCCAGGGTGGAGAGCTCAACGAGAATGACACAGACACGGACAGTGGATACGGGGGCGAGGCAGAAAAGAGCGACGGCAAAGATAAAGAATGTGAGCGCAATAAGGCGCAGGGACAAAAGGCAGTGAAAATCAAGCAAGAGTTCGGAGATGAGCGGGCTGCCAAAAAACCAAAGATGAGCTGGCCTGGGAACGGGGCAGGGGGCGCAGACCTCACCAGGCCCGACGTGGCGTTTATGAACTCTCTGATGGGAATAAGCAGTGTGGGACAGCAGACACCGATTTGCATGCCTTTCTACTTCATTAACCCCTCAGCCGCTGCTTCTTACATGCCTTTTTTCGACAAGAACAACATTGAAAAGTACATGTATCCTGCGGCGGCCGCCCTTGCTTCCCCTTTCCCTTGGCTATATCCCGCTCACGCCTCAGCGGCTGCGGCGGCCGCTGCTGCCGCGTTCCCCGGCCTGTCTGCGCACTTTGGAGCCGCTTGTCAGTCCAAGGACTCACCCTCTCTAGACACCGACGGGTCACTCGAGGCTGACGAGGGCTCACCTGAGGAGCGCGAGGAGAGTCCCGCTAGTGACGACGGAGAGGGTGACGTAGGCGACACGTCCCAGGAGAGCAAGAGTAGCTCACACGACCAGTTTTCTGGGTGTCAGAGGAGCTAATTAGTCCGTGTTACCTCTCTGCGCATTCTCGAGGAGTTTATGTATCTTCATTTTTTAATAATTAGGCTAATTTTAAACGGGGTTTCACAGGAGAGTTGCTCGTGTACAATATCTTGGCAAAAGAGAGGACAGTTGTGACGGCGCGTGCCTTTTGCACTTATGCTAGATTAAACAATCTGAATGATTATCGACAATGATTGACACTACACGGCCGTGTTGTGCTGGAGTTAGTTTTTTTATCCTCTTTGATAAACTATTTTGACATGGCAGCATTGGTGCCAAAACTTTGAGTACTGCAGCAGTGCGCAATATTCCAGTCAATGAGTCTCTTTGGATGTATGAAGTTGCAACTGACCTCTGCCAAGGTTATTAATAACTTGGCTGACTCTGACTGTAAATATTATTACCTGAAAGATTCATTACCATGTAAATGTGCACTAAATGGGGCCTATAAAATGGGTGGTCCTGGAAGTGCATCTATCCCCAACTTTGCATGGGTAAGCTGGGAGGCACATAACTGTACCTCCTGAGAACTGAAACGCATCCCCCTTTCAGAACATACACAGACAGCATCTCCATCATACACACAACACATATAAAAGTCTCATGTTTTAATAAAACATTTGTAATACATTCACGGGAGAGGTGTTATGCATAAATTCCTTCATTTCACTCCCACTAAAGTTACTCTGGTTTCCGTTGCTTTCTGTATCCTTGTGGCAAAAAAAAAAGAAAGAAAAAGAAGAAAGAAACAGATGTAATAAAACCATTAATGGAGAGACAAAGCCTTCATTCATAAGGATTTGCTTGACCAGCATATTGTACATCCCCTGACTGAAGCATTTCTGCACAGAGATGCAGTGACCTTCTGTACCTCCAGGAAACATTGTAGGATAGCACCTTAAAGATCTTTGATATTGAATGTACCTGTATTTTCCCAGCTGTTAAAGTTTGTATGTAGAATG